TTCCAGATCCTGTTTCCAGTCCCATTCGGCTGGGTCCAGTTCCAGATCCTGTTTCCAGTCCCATTTGGCTGGGTCCAGTTCCAGATCCTGTTTCCAGTCCCATTCAGCTGGGTCCAGTTCCAGATCCTGTTTCCAGTCCCATTCGGCTGGGTCCAGTTCCAGATCCTGTATGATGCGGTTGTCGGGTCAAAGATTGTGTGATCCTCTTTCTCCGCCATGGCGCGACCTGCATTTTACACAGGAGATTAGTTTTGGCTGCCATCTGAGCCCGGCAGATGCTTTCTACCTTAGGTCGAGGGTGCAGCTGGGTCCAGTATGTTGTGCATGTTGAACACTACCCACTTCCCGCCCTGTCTCTTATACACATCTAGATGTGTATAAGAGACAGGTGTGACATAGATCACTCTAATAGATTGGAGCATTGTCCCCCCTCCCCCCCGGCCCCCCCCCCAAAAAAGAAAAAAAGAAAAGAAAAAAAAAAAGATCACTCTACAGACTGACCAGCCCAATTCATGATTTTCTGACTCTTCACTCAAAAAGCATCATCCTTTTTACCAGATCCTCAAAACAAAACGTTAAATTGCAAATCTGTGGGCCGAAGATGGCGGTAAGGAAACCCTAAACCCTAAACCCTAAACCTCACAAGTGTCAAAAGTTTTTTTGAGTTGTTCGATGGGAGCGGGCTGCTAATGGAACAAGCCTGGTTTGTTGCTATTTTCTTTCTCACCAGACCACAGCGTTCGTACCGGCACTGCAAAAAAAAGTAGGCACGGGAAAGGTTATCGGAACAAGGGGTGGGTCAAGATCAACGAAAAGCGAAAAAGCAGCCATAGACGTGTCAGTGAATTCAGCGGAAGAGCCGGTCGAGCCATTGAAGTTACGGTCCACGACAAGTCGAAAGAGGAGGAGGGCAAGTGAGCAGCAACAGGACAGCTCTGTCGAGGAGGATGGGAGCCCGGGTGTTGAAACAGGAGGCAAGAGGGTAAGAGGAACAGCAGCCGCAGCAAGCGGGAAAATGGAAGATGAGAATGCAGAAACTGATGCTAGAACGACTCCAAAAAGAGCCACCCCAGGAAAGACAAACATGGCCTTACGCAGCGTGGTGAAGGCGAACGGAAGCCCTGGTGTTGGAACAAGAGGAAAGAGAGGAAGGGAAACAGCGGTGGCAGGAAGTGGGAAAATGGATGACGAGAATGCGGAAACAGATGCTAGAACAAGAGGCACTCCCGGAAAGACGAACATGGCATTGCGAAGTGCCACCAAGGAGGATGCAAACCCTGGCGGCGGAACAAGAGGCAAGCGCGCAAGGGAAACGGCAGCAGC